ATCTCTTGTCTCACAGCAGGTTATGTGATGGTTTTCCAGGATCAGGTGTCCAAGCGCTGAATGTTCACAGGAATGATTGCTGTGGGCTGGGAACTGGGATCCGGAATCGTCACGGACGGACATACAGCCATCTTATAAATGCTTACACCATTCAAATGTCTTACTACGGCTGTGCTTCTCCTCACTGTACTGTGCTTGAAGTTTTCTGTAGATATCCACAGGTTTTACACCTTCATTCACAAGAAACTTCATCACCAAACACTGTTCCATGCACGCACTAACGCTGCGATCTTGATGAACAGTCTCTGGACTACCCCACGACATGTGCACTGCCTATTAGCAATAAGACACACTTGCCACTTACTACTATGAGTGGTACCACCACATTAGCCCCCTCATATCTATTGGCTTATAAATTAAAGTATATCTAATCTCCAGCATAACAATGTAACATATTGCAGTGTATCGGTCCTTAGATGTGCCAGAAGCATACGTTTTAGTATTTTTCTGGCTGAGAGTACTTTCTCTAAGTACAGAAAAATGCCTGTTGATCCTGCCAAAAAGTGTTCTTCAACTTCCTGTCCAGTGAGCTGAAATCCCAAGCAAAGTTATCAGCTTCCTAGCAATCGTCTCTGTAATACCAAACTTCTCTCTGCTATGTAATGGAGATGAGGAGAGGGGCAACATTGGATGGAAGAAGAAAATCAATGACCCAGTTAAGCAGAACCAGTGGGAAGTGGTCACAAAATCGCCTCCCCATGTTGCCATATTAGTTTAATGGCATCCACACTTCTTTGCATACCTGCAGCTGCAAGATTGAAAATGACCCAGCTGTAGTTGATTGAGCCCCCAGGGAAGAGATTATGTGACAGCTTCCTACAAGTTCTGCTGAACTGGTTTGAGACTGAATTTGGACCAAACCCAGCTCATCTCTCGTGACAAATTAGGCAGAAATTCAAAGGTGTGAGTTGACCAAACCATATTCCACATTCCATCTCATTCAGCCAGAATTTAGAACCCATACTGTATTTCACATTTTACCATTTTTGTCTGGAAGACAGTAACCGCTTATTAAAAATGCAATGCAACTTTTTTTTACTCTTTTTTTTATTTTTCAAGACTTGGTTGTGTTCAAGTCAAGCATAGCATAGACAAAAGACTACGATATGTTCCCTCAATAAAGGAGCATGAGTAAAAACGAAGGCAATACCTGTACTGGTATGATACTAATAAGTTACAAAGTTCATGATACAGGATAATAACACTTTGAAATAAAAATAAGATTGCCCCTGACAAATGATTGCCATTTTATGACAACAAGATATGGAAAAGAAGAGGAATTGATAGGAAGAGAAAAGAAATTTAGTAGACAATAAATAATGGCCAGCCCTGCAAACCTAAATGGGATGTGGGTCAAATATCCACTGAAAATGGAATGCTATTCTCCAAATACCCCCCTTACCCCCTTTCCATCTCTCTAAGAGGCTTACACAATGATTTATTAGACATAGAGCTTACAGGACCCTTCAATAGATGTATCAATTTGGATGCAGGGATTTTCCTTTGTGTCCAGATGTAATAGGGAGACAGATGATTTGCATCACAAACAAACAAAAAATTAACCAGCATACTTACAAGCTAGCCTGCACAAAAAAAAAACCCTGTCCCACAAAGCACATTAAAAACAGAAGGCTCAATTTCACACATTTGCAAATATATGTGCATGCCGTAATACCTTGTGAACGCTGCTCTGCGGTCCTAACTCTCTATATGACAGTCTGCTAGTTGGAGCACATATAGCAGTGGATAAATTGATTTGCCTGGAGGGTACCCCTACCTCCATTGGACACCCAGCAAGAGCAAAATGGCAACTAAAGACATCCAATGTGTCCCCAAGTCAAATCCAGCAAACAAGCTATATAAAAAGATGTCAACCACCCCAATTTATAACCAGGCTTTGCTGTAAGGTGCACATGGAAGACCTTTACACATCACAAACAAACATAAAATTTCCCAGTACATTTGACCCTGTCTAATAACGTTTAAAACAGAGGGCTTAGTTGCACACATTTACAAATATATGTGGATGCCACATTACCTTGTCAAGACTCCTCTATATACTGGAAACCTAATGCTATATTTTAGAGTCTGCACGTTGGAGCTCATATAGCAGTGGATAAAATGAGGGCAGGTTTGCCTTGAGGGAACCCACCCGTACCTCTTTAAAGGCACAAGGACACATTGGACACCCAGCAAGAGCACAATGGTAGCTGAAGGCATCCAATGTTTCCCCAAGCCAAGAAAAAAAGTTATATAAAACGATGGCAACCACCCCAATTTATGACTAGCCTTTGTAGTAAGCGATTTAAAACACGTTATAGAACTGCCTAAAATAGGTTTAGCATATTTACCCGTGTTGAACTTGTGGCAGAACAGCCATATATATTGAGAAGTTTGGCTGGGCCCTTACTTGCCGTCATAACCTTATGGGGGTATGTTTACTGCTGTTTATTATTAGGTAACAATTCCTCCATATTGGGCACTGTGGGATTCTTATTTTTGCACTGGCGTTTACTTGAATTGTGGATTATATCTTTCCAAAACTGTAGATACAGTAGATAGATACATTCCCAGAGGATGATTGCCAAGATGAGGGAAGAAAGCTGCATTTTCTCAAGCTGTAGAGAGCACAGCTTCCTACTGCCTTGATGGAGCCAGGAGAGTGCACTTCTGTAGGCAGGTTTAGTCTGCTTTCTCCACTGTAGGTGGTGCTTGACCAGAACGGCACTGCAGCTGGATAGGAAGTCAAAAGAAACTTGGTTTCTTTATGGTTTCCTCAGTCCCTGAAGCAACGTTCCAGTTGGCTACTCCACATCCAGAGGACCCTGGTGGCCATCTTGGGTCAAACAGAGCCTTTTTAAGTTGCTATCCCCAAGTTTTGGGAAGGAGCTACATCTATACTTCTTCAAGCTCCCGCTTGCATTGACTGTGAATTTCCCAGACAGGTATTCTCCCCGCCAGGCTGTTGTGAATGTTTTTTGCATGTTTTTCAATATATTTGCTTCTGCATCTGGGCCTCAGTATCATTTCTGCCACCACACCATACTGCACCCAGCCCTCACACTAGCACAGTATATGCAGGATATAACTTCCTATTTGTGGTATGCCCCTCTTTTTCTCTATCTTCAAAGCTTTAATGAATCAAGTTAGGCAATGCAATGTTCAGTATTATGTTCCATATACCTTGATAAACTTGGAATGTATTCAGTTGATGTGAACCAAATGTTTATTTGGAATATAAAGGGTCAGTCCATCCAAAATTGGTATTTTGGTTACAGCAGGAGCCCATTGGACTGAGTCAGACCCTGACTCCTTACATGTTTTGGACACTTCAATAGTCAAAGGATATGTAGCACCCTCCTAGGTAGCTAGGGGGAGCTCGAGTTCTAATTCTCAGTTAGAAGGGCTGAGTAGCAGCCCATGTGTAATAGTCAGGGGGTCACATTTTGGTCAGGAGCTGAAAGACTCTGCAGACCAGCTCTTTGGGACTTCCCTTTGCTCTGCAATTTTTGAGAAAACAGGAGGCTTGGCTTGGGGCCAGGACAGCCCTTAAGAGTGACTGAGCATGCTCAGTAGCAGGGCAGTTTGGGTGGAAGATGAGGATGTGAGGCTGGAGAGCAGGAGCCTGAGAGGGGTCCCAGATGGGAGAGGATCTCACCTCCAGGCAGGAGGACCTTGGAAAGAGGAAAGCTTGGGACTTCACCAGCCCCCTGAGAGAGGACCACCTATGTGGCAGGGAAGGAGCGACCCAGATAGAAGCCCTGGTAGCAGCCACTGACCCACCAGCAACACAGGAGAAGGGCTAGGTTAGTAGACACTAGGGGAAGGAGACAGATAGGGAAAGGAGCACTCTGTTGGGAAACCAGATTACCAAGTACCCAGGACTGTCTTACTTTAACATGACAGGCACTGGATCCCCTGCTCAGGGATTTCCCTCAGATAGCTGGATGAGAGGAGGATTCATCTGGGGTCTGGGGTGGTACAACTGGAGACGCTGACTAGCTCTCCAAAAGAGACTGTTCGCTGTAAAAACCTGTATATGGTTCTGGGAAGTTGTCCTTGGTTTCACAGTGCTATTGGGCATCCTTTACACCCCTTACCCTGTCCAAGTTCAATTCCCCTAACAAAACCTCAAAAAACAAGCTCAAAGACTGGTTACAGTCTCCTGGAAACAAGTTGATGTGAAAATGCGTGTTGCCTGGCTGTGCAGGACTATAGGGAAACCCAAACTTCAGCAACTCTTAAGGGGGTAATGCTACACATATATATAGCCAGAAAAGCACAGATCTTCAGAATAACGTCTAAAATGTATTAAAGTGGTGGTAAACTTTCTTTTTTAAAAATTGCTGAAAAACAAGATATTTATGGCAGAAGGGACCCGATCAGTCTGTATGGTCATAAATGCTTCCCCCTGCCTGTCAGCCATCATGTACACTGAGCAGTGTTTGCGCAGCTCAGTGAACATTTATGGCCCTGATTTGTGCCTCTGTGATGTGACTCCTGTGTCCAATGCACGGGAGTGACATCACTGCAGCTCAGCCACTCAAGCCGCCAAAGTCACAGAACCCAAAAGGAAGACCAAGCAAAGATGAAAGGAACCATGACCCGCCAGAACAACAGTGCTTTGGAGGGCTCGGTTTAACAGGTAAGTCTGTCATAATGTGCTAATATGCTGTGCACACTAATACTGTCAGGGCTCCCGGGTATGACCAGAGGTGTGTGACTGATGCAGGGAAACGCAGACTTTCCGATATGTGATAAACAATATAATTTATTAACACTAACAATACAAACATAAACGCAGTGCAATACTAAAACATAACACAGTGTAAACAAACCCAACCAACCACCCACAGATAACAGTACGTACAAGCAAGCGTCGTCAGGCAGGCCGGGTCAATATCAATTGGGCAGGTAGGTACAGGGGGAGCAAGCGGAGAATGGTCGGGGTCACAGGCCAGGTTCAGCAGGTAGCAAGCAGCGTAGTACAGAGGGTCAGGCAGAGGGATGGTCAGGGTCACAAGCCAGGGATCAGAACAGGTAGCAAGCAGCGTAGTACAGAGGGTCAGGCAGAGGGATGGTCAGGAGCGAGCCGGGATCAGAGCAGGAGAAGTCAGCAGCAGTTCAGATCAGGCAGGGTCAGCAAAGGAACAGAAACAGGATGCAGGACAGATACAGGGCCCAGGACAAACACAACACCAAGGCAGAGTCTGCAAGTCTGGCCATCCCTTAAATACACCAGTATCATCAGTTCCAGGTGTTAGCTGGCTGAAAGGTTGAGTCTCTGATTGCTGGGAGCACCCGCTGGCCAGCCCTGGTACTGCAGATCAAAAGGCAGGTGAGTCCCACCATTGCTGGCCAGTCCATTCCTGACAAATACATTAAGTCAAACCCAACCTAGCGGCCACTAAAAAGAAATAATGAAAGCAGACTTTACTACCGATGATCACATGCCTGGGCCACACAGGATCCCTTCATCAAGCAGGTAAAAATTACCTGACATCACATGCCTAATTAAGAGGTGTTGCATGGTCCACAAAGGTCTACACTTTACTGTTTTGATGAGATTATCTTAATACATTTTTGAAAATCTAAGGTGCACTGGCAATATATGCTTTGACTTGTGTTAAAACCAATTCCCAGCAGTAAGTCGCTATAGCATTCACTTAATTAAGGTTCCTCAAGCAATGTGTGCAATGGAAATATTCTCGGACACTCCAGTAGGGAGATCTCCCTGCAGTAGCTTAAATTTCTGCCCATCTGCCAGTTTTGATTGCCCCTGCCCACCTTTGCATGTTTCATGGTGTATTCTTCATAATATAAAATAAATAATACATTCAGCAGGATGCGATAAAAGAATCTGTCAGGTTGTTTACCTATAGAGCAGTGGTCTCAAAACTGTGGCCCAGGAGCCAGATGTGGCTCTTTGCTTGCCTTTATTATTATTATACAGTATTTATAAAGCTCCGATAGTTCGCTTAGCGCTGTACATTACAAAGGGGGACAGAACATGTGACAGAACAATACCAATACAATGCAAAACATGAGGGGATCGAGGGCCCTGCTCTTTCGAGCTTACAAACTAGGAGGGAGGGGATGGTGGCACAGGAGGAGATAGCTGTGGGGGATGGAGTGGTAGTGGTAGGAAGAGTGGAGGAGGTCGGCGAGTTAGCAGGGGGTGGGGTAGGCTTCCCTGAAGAGGTGGGTTTTCAGGGTGCACCTAAAGGAGAGGAAAGTAGGTGATAGTCTGATGGATTGGGGTAGGGAGTTCCAGAGGATGGGTGACGCCCTGGAGAAGTTCTGGAGGCGGGCATGGGAGGAGGAGACCAGGGAACTAGAGAGGAGTTCTTGTGAGGAGTGGAGTGTGCGTGCTGGGTGGTACTTGGATATTAGGTCAGTGATGTAGTTCGGGGCAGTGTGGTGGACGGCTTTGTACGTCAGTGTTAGGATTTTGAATTTGATCCGTTGCGCAATCGGAAGCCGGTGGAGGGATTGGCAGAGGGGGATGGCAGAGATGGAGCGGTTGGAAAGGTGAATGAGTCTGGCTGCCGTATTCAGGATCGACTGAAGCGGGGATAGCCAGCGGCGAGGCAGGCCAGTAAGGAGGGAGTTGCAGTAGTCGAGTCGTGATATGATGAGGGAGTGGATGAGCTGTTTAGTGGTTTCTGGGGTTAGGAACGTGCGGATTTTGGCGATGTTGCGGAGGTGGAATCTGCACGAGCTTGTTAAAGATTGGACTTGGGGGGCTGGAAGGATAGGTTGGAGTCCAGAATGATACCAAGTACTCTAGCCTGCAGGGTGGGTGTGATGGTGGCGTTGTTGGACATGATGGAGAAGTCAATGGGGGGTGGTGTCCAGGCTGGGGGGAAGACAAGAAACTCGGTCTTGGAGAGGTTCAGTTTAAGGAAGTTCAGTTTAAGGAGGTGGAGCGACATATAGTCAGATATATTATCAAATCCTTGGGGCAATTCCTCCCAATGACACCAATGAAGGGGCACAATTCCTTCCAATAACACCAACAATGGGGCACAATTCCTCCCAATAAACCAATGATAGAGCACAGTTCCTCTGAATGACACCAAAAATGGGACACGATGACACCAATGATGGTGCACAACTCCTCCCAATGAAACCAGTGATGGGGCACAATTCCTCTCACTGACCCCAAAGATAGGAAACTATTCCTCCCAACACCAATGATCGGGCATAAATCCTCTCACTGACACCAAAGATGGGGCAATGTTTACTCCCACTGATGCCAGGATATTTTCTACTCCCAATGGCCACAGTTCGTCCCCAATAAAGTCTGAAGGACCATAAACTGGCCCTTTGTTTAGTAAGTTTGGAGACCCCTGCCAAAGAGCATCTGTCAAACACTGGAATATCAGTTTTGAACGATCTGATCTTTTAATTAATGAGGAACTCTCATGAGTATTGAGTATAAAAAAAAATTAATACAAGAGACTGAGCTGTTTATAGATTGTTCTGTGTGAAATTCCTCACAATGTTCATCCTTCATACCAGGTCTATTAGTGTGTATTGAAAACCTGCTGATCCAGAGCTACAAGTTATACATTCTACTGGTGAGTGCTCTATGTTATATAGCTGTCATTGTTTCTTTACATAACAGTACAGTAAGGCTTAAATCGAACCTTGAGCTTGACCACCGGCTAAGGTGTAGCCACATAGAGGTCAGGATGTGCACCTGTTCCCATAAGAATTAAGCATTCCAGTTCCTGTGCCCCTATTTAGGTGTATTTATGTAAAAAAATGAAAAATGAAAACAAATAATTGTGCAGCACTCAAAGAATTAAAGTGACAAACATAAGAATGAATTAATCTATCTCCAATATTTGACACTGGCTTATCACCTTTTTGTACTAGCTGCCATTTTCTCTGAGCGCTCACTTGCACTATCTGTAGCTGTTTTTGAAAAAAAGAAAAGACTTCATACGAATACATTTCCACAAATGTACTGAAATAATATTGCTCTAGTCCCAGAATTTAAAGTGTTTATCAAACCAAAAAGTTTTTTTTTTCTAGAATTCCTTCAATAGGCACCCAATAGTAGCTCAAACATTAGAAATACAAAAAGGAGTGCCATACCAAGACTGCATAAAAAAGTCCAAGATCATTTATACTGTTGGCAGAACATCATATAAAATTTGCTTTGGGTGCAGCAGCACTCTTCTTTCATCAGGGCTCAACATAGGATGAAACTTGGATGAACTTCACAGATCTAGAGGAGTACCAGTACTGAACCCTCCACATGGACTTGCCAGAAGTTGCTTAGCAGCAATGGAGCTCCATTCCATTTCTGTTGCTGTTAGAGAGTTCCCTTCACTTCCTGTTGGGTAAACCATTGTCAGCAGATCAGGTAGTGAGATTAAAGCTCTACCAGAACTATAACAGTAAATACCAACAACAGTTTGAACCCTTCTTCACTCCAAAACTAAAAAGAAAAAAAATTTATTGGCTGTACATACCCTGAAATATCACAGTATAAACACAAATTATAAACAAAAATTAATACATGTACTTCATTTGACTTTAAGTGGGTATACCAGGATGATGCTTGCAGCTAGAGGCACCATCAGGGTATTTTTTCAGCTGGCGGCTGACTTTTATATAAAAGCCATCCTTGCAGGTAATCAGGCACTGGATTGCTTTTACAGGCAGTGGGAGGGATCGCCCTCCCTCCTGCCACCTGCCGGTTCCTCTCTGCGCTCTACTGTCTCAACGGCAAGCCTGGAATGAAACATGAACCAGATGGTCCCCATTAAGCTCTATGGCATAGGAAACTGGACGTGACAAGAGTTTTCTTCACTTCCAAATTCCTGGATGTAAATAGCGCCAATTTTAAATTTGAAAAGTATGTGATCACACTGATCTTGGCGTGATCAGATGCTTGTAAAAGCAGGGGAGACATCCAGGGTCTAATAGACTCTAGATCACTCTATAAAGAGTACCTAACACTGCCTATTGCTGTCAGAAGGGAGATTTACATGACTTCTGACAGCAGTAAAAGTGATCAAAAAAAGCACTCAGTGGTCTTACATGCATACATAAACAGCGATCGCACCACAGATGTGAGGTATTGTCTTGAATGTCAGAACAAGAGTAAATAATTCTAGTACCAGACCACCTCAATACCACTAAACTGGGAACCTGTAAAAGCCATTAAAGCATCACCTATGTCGCCATTCCAGGAGCGTGAACAATTTTAAAGAGTGACATGTTAGGTATCTACAGTATTTACTCGGCATAACACCATCATTTATATGTTACCAAAAAAATTGGTATTATATTGTGTTTGTGTGTTGTTAAAATTCATTAGTGTATTTTTTCCCAAAAAACTGTTTTCGAAAAAAAACCACTCTGCAAATATTGTGTGACATAAAAAAATTGAAAAACCCACCATTTTATTCTCTAGGGCCTAGGGTGGCCACCTCATCCCTTTAAAATCGAACACATATTAATTACATAGGTTCTGTGGCTGATTAAGTTGGTATGTAAACTCACTTAGCGCCTTATCTGCCTCAGAACCTGTGTAATTAATATGTGTTCAGTTTTAAAGGGATGAGGTGGCAACCCTACTAGGGCCTCTGCTAAAAAATATATCATGTTTGTGGGATCTAAGTAATTTTCTAGCAAATTATACTTAATTTTAAAAAGTGTCAGAAAAAGGCCCGGTCTTCAAGAAGTTAATGATCCACTTCATCAATTTTCAGCCTCTCTACCTCACTTTCTATATTTTCTTTGTTACTGACCATGAACAAGCTTTCAGCCTGTGAAGTCCAAAATGTTGACTCGTGTACTTGTTCTAGGTCAGTGATTCAGAAAATATTGAAGTCATTTGTAGCAAGTAAAACATCTTGAATCCAGCGATTTTTCCCCGCAGTGTTTTTTGCCTCTATATGTCCCTATTCTCATGGACAATATCATTAAGTCCACTTCCTTTGAGCCCATGTTGTCCTGGACCTGCCCCCAGCCTGTGATTGGACAGTGAAAAGAAGAGCAACACCATGATGAGTTCAGCTGTCTGTCACTCTGCTTTCTCCTCATATCAGCATGCTTCTTGTCAAGACATGAACTGATTTGCTCCTGCCAGGTCAAATTCAGATACTTACTTGCCTCAAAAACGCATTTAAAATTGTATTAATGATTACAGAACTGCATTATGTTGTGTTTTTTTTTATCCGTTGCCTAATCTATTTAAAATTAAATAAAAATCTGGCTTTTGACATACTTTACAAGATGGGGGAGTGGACCGATGTTTCAGGTTTTTATTTTGGAGGATACTTGCACACATTTGGTTTTGGTGCTGGAAGCCCAAAACCGAAAACATTAGTGCCAGGTTTTCAAATCTGAATACTAGACACCAAGATATTACCAGGAACACATATCACAGAAGGGACATTATTTAAAAAA